ATGCACTCCAAACAATTTTGCAAGGAAAACTTGTTTTTCTTTGTCTCTTTTTTTGTTGTTTTTTTGCTTGTTTAATGACGTGGTTAGTGAGGCACGTTATTAGAAGTTGTGGTCTGACCGCCTATCACTTGCTGTTTTCTTGAAGCCAATTGCACTCAGACCAAGTCAGAAAGGAAAACTTTTATTTTTAATTTTTATTTTTTTATTTTTTTATTTTTTCTTTTGTTTCTTTTTATTTCATTCTTTTGTTTTTTCAGGCAAACTTCATTAAGCTCAAGACAGAACACTGTTTTATTTTGTTTAATTTTTGTATGTGCGATTTTTTTATATAGCAAAGTAGCTATATAACCCTATACCCTGCAGTTCCTGCACCCTGCAACCACTCCAGGGGGTGTTTCACAAAGATCCTAAGTCAAACTTAACTCTAAGTTGGATTTAAAGATTATGGAGAGCCATTTGTAGCCTTATAATGAAATACATTCAAAAGCAAAATCCAAGTATTTTAGACTTTACATAAATTCCACATCAAGAACATGAAATCTCCTTTAAAATAGAAAATATGAATGATTTGAATCAACATTTTATGCTTTTTGAAATAACTTTTACAAAATATTTTCAAAGATGCTATTTAAACGGATTTCCATAATTGTTCCCAACTTAGAGATAAGTTCAACTTAGGATCTTTGTGAAACACCCCCCTGGTTTGAGAAGGTGTCTTTACACGGTTTACAGCATACCCAGGTGATGGGCGCTCAAACCACACTTTTCAATAACGTGCCTCACCCTCAACCGCCGCGTCATCGAAGAAGCCATAAGCTGGCCAGACCAGGTTACCGATCCATAATATCGACGACAGAGATCCTGTGGATGCGCCGAGAGAAGCTCAGAAGGGATTCATTATTGTTTTCTGATGGGGAGAACATGAGGGGAGATAATCAACTTCAGCCGGGAGTGCAGTATGCTTCGAGGCAGATTCTTTGACGCATTCATAAAGTTCCTTCAAGATTATTCCTGCATGCTGATCCAGCCCCCCCCCCCCCTCCCCCTAAAAAAAAAAAAAAATTGTCCATATACTTTATTGAAAGGTTGTCATCTAGTTTTATATCATTTTTTAAAATAATGTATAATGGTTGTTTTATTATACGTGTTAGATTGAAAGCAAAATTATGTCAATCAAGGCAGATTCTTTGTCACATTCGTATACCATAGTTTCTTTAAGAATATTCATTCATGCCGTTGCAATGAAATTTGTTCCAATTGTTTTTTGTTTTTTTAAACAGTTACAATCTGATATCGTTTTCTACAATGGTTTTCCAAAGAGAATTCCACAATCGATAGCGAAATACTGTGAATTCAACTAGAGAAATTAATGGTGTTTTTTTTTTTCTCAAAAAGAATTATGTTTGACAGCAACTTTCCGTGAAGGCAGATACTGATGCATCAAGAATTCCTTCTAGATCACTCTTCAATGCTGAACATTGTCCGCTGAAATTTTGTCCCCTAAAATTTGACCCCATCCATTCTTGAAACAAAATGACATGCATGTCTGTAGTTTTTTATATTTCATATCTTTTAGTACTAGATAATAAATTCACCTTTCCCAATGACTTGGAAACAGATTCATGCATTAACAGAAATCACCTACAGCATACATCTTTAAATTCATAACTACGTATTTAATGATAATAATAGGCATTTCTATAGCGCTGTGTATCTAGAAATTCTATTCCGAGGCGCACTAATTATTACCCCGGCTTTAATTAGCCTAGCTGCCATTACAGTGCTCCAGCATTTCAAGGAATTAACACCTGCCAGGTACCCATTTACGTTACCTGGATCGAGTGTGGCAAATGAAGATTAATGCCTTGTCAAAGGACATTAGTGCCATGTCGGGGATCGAACCACGACCTTTGAATTTCAAGTCAAGTGCTTAAACCACTCGGCTAGGACACTTCTACTACATGTAGTGAGCCTTTAAATCTTCTGTCTACAACATGAGCATATATCACAGTCATAACATTTAGATAACATGTGATTACCAAACGTGACCACCAGAGCTTCATCAATTCATGGGGATCCGCGGTGGAGTGTAACAATCAATATTAATCATCCCCTTCACTGGTTTATCCATTTGGCTTTGGAAAAACCCAAACAAACGGACGATCTTTATCACTGCTCGCATGTAGGAGTATTTGGCAAGCACTTAGGTTTGCTATAGTGAGCAATTTGTGCGGCTAACGGTGTCCCAAGTGAAAAGGCAAACAATGCATTGATAACCATGAGTTGCAAAGGTAAACAACGGGGTGATTCTTTACAGGGAAACTAATGGTGGATAATTGCATTCAAACGATTACTGAATTCATCACAACCGCTCAAATGCAAATATGCATGTATATGAAGCGAGGATGATGTTCATCTGTTACCATCTTTTTCTACTCTCTCTCTCTCTCTCCCTCTCTTTGTCTCTCTGTCTCTCTTTCTCTTTCTCTTTCTCTATCTAAATCTCTATCCCACTCTCTATATCTCTTTCTCTCTCTTTTTTTCTCTCTCTCTCAATCTCTCCCCTCTCTCTCTCTTTCTCTTCCTTTTTCTCCCTTTCCCTCTCCCTTTCCCTTTCCTTTTCCCTCCCTCTCCCTCTCCCTCTCCCTCTCCCTCTCCCTCTCCCTCTCCCTCTCCCTCTCCCTCTCCCTCTCCCTCTCCCTCGCTTTCTCTTTCTCTCTGCAAATATGCATGTACATGAAGCGAGGATGATGTTCATCTGTTACCATCTTTTTCTACTCACTCTCTCTCTCCCTCTCTCTCTTTGTCTCTCTGTCTCTCTTTCTCTTTCTCTATCTAAATCTCTATCCCACTCTCTATATCTCTTTCTCTCTTTTTTTCTCTCTCTCAATCTCTCCCCTCTCTCTCACTTTCTCTTCCCTTTTCTCCCTTTCCCTCTCCCTTTCCTTTTCCCTCTCCCTCTCCCTCTCCCTCTCCCTCTCCCTCTCCCTCTCCCTCTCCCTCTCTCTCTTTCTCTCTCTCTCTGCAAATATGCATGTACATGAAGCGAGGATGATGTTCATCTGTTACCATCTTTTTCTACTCTCTCTCTCTCTCTCTCTCTCTCTCTCTCTCTCTCTTTGTCTCTCTGTCTCTCTTTCTCTATCTAAATCTCTATCCCACTCTCTACATCTCTTTCTCTCTCTTTTTTTCTCTCTCTCAATCTCTCCCCTCTCTCTCTTTCTCTTCCTTTTTCTCCCTTTCCCTCTCCCTTTCCTTTTCCTTTTCCCTTTCCCTCTCCCTCTCCCTCTCCCTCTCCCCTCTCCCTCTCCCTCTACCCCTCTCCCTCTCTCTCTTTCTCTTCCTCTCTCGCTCGATCTCTCTCGTTCTCCTCTCTCTCTCCTTTCTCTTTATAGCATTCCTTAAATATCTCTCTCATCCTTTTCCTCTATTTTTTCTATTTCTCATTCATTTTTCAGACCACATTTTAGTGGTTATATGTTTGGACATAACCATCTCTTGTTCTCTACCCACTCACACATATATGTAAAGATGAAAGCAATGCCATAACGAGTTCTGCTTCACAAAGACGCAATGAGGATGCTGAGGGCAAGCTCTTATAAATATTTTTGTTATTCAACTGAGACTTGTTTTCTAAGTTAATCTTTAAAAAAATGAAAAATGTGGGAATGTCCCTCCTTCACACCTTTATAAAATATTTAACCTCTGCTACAATCTCACAAACAAGTTGCTTTCTTTATATCCTACATCTCTCTCTCTCTCTCTCTCTATTTCACTTTCCTTCTCTCTTCCCCTCTCTCTCTCTCACTTTCTCTATTCCTCTCTTTATTTCTCTATGTCTGTATCTCTGTTTCTTTCTCTCTCTCTCTCTCTCTCTCTCTCTCTCTCTCTCTCTCTCTCTCTTTCTTCCCTACCTCTCTCTATCTCTCTCCCTCTCTCTCTCTCTCTCTCTTTCTTTCTCTCCCTCTTATTTTCTCAATCTCCCTTTCAAGACTTGGTAATGATTAACATCAAAGAAGAATATAAGCTGGAAGTTTTGAATGTTCTTCAAAGTTATTGCAATGTGTAACCAACTCATATTCCACTTTTGTGCTATTTTGTCCTATTATTTACATTTACATTTGAATGGGGAAAGTACAATAAGGAGAAAATGGATAAGCAAGCTGATGTAAGAAAAAGATACACTGTATGGCAAGAGAAACAGCCATATCATTTTTGCAATCAGTAGACCTATTTGTTGCAACCTATGAAACAAAATGAATTATTTGCAGGAAAAAACTTAAATATACACGTAGTCATGATAAATCAGGTCAATTTGATATGAATTATTAATATGCATTTTTCAGACCCTTTCAATCGCCTGCTTTAAATTCTATTTTCTTCTCCTTATTTGAAATAGATTCATGTATTGTGTTGTGAATATTTGAAGAAACGGTATCTCATCTGTTTCGAACCAGAAGGGCTATAACTCATGTCATTGAACATGTACACAGAATTAATACTTTTCTTGCCCAAAACAGACAATTCTAGCAGAGTTGACAATTACAAGGCTATATGTTATCTTTTTAAACTATTCTGAAATGAGTTTCATAACAATAATCAATGAAATGATAAACTTTTGCATGTAACCAAAAATTGTCTAATTAATATTTGAAATAGATTCATGTATTGTGTTGTGAATATTTGAAGAAACGGTATCTCATCTGTTTCGAACCAGAAGGGCTATAACTCATGTCATTGAACATGTACACAGAATTAATACTTTTCTTGCCCAAAACAGACAATTCTAGCAGAGTTGACAATTACAAGGCTATATGTTATCTTTTTAAACTATTCTGAAATGAGTTTCATAACAATAATCAATGAAATGATAAACTTTTGCATGTAACCAAAAATTGTCTAATTAATTTTTGTTGGTGATACCTGTAAACATTCATTAACATAAGGAGTTATTAGGGGAGGTAACTTGGTAAAATAAAGTAAGAAAGAATTAATCTCACCTGCTTCCAAAGAAAACTGTCTTGAGAGTTTCTTCCAACTGCGCATGCCACATGTAGTATAGAATAAACCAATCCAAACATTACAGCGAGCCGCATCCGCACCGGCAGAAGCGTATAGATCAAATAGATGATAAAGACGGTGGTCCAGACCCCCGCGGTCGCCGACCTGGGCTCGGTGTCGAGGACATCGATGATTACAATTGCTCCTAGAAGCGCCAATACCACATAGCACACAAAGCGTAATTGTCTTGGGGTGAAAGAATTCCGATTGCACAAGACTCCTAGCACGATAAACACAATTTCAAAAAGTCCTAGAAAAGCGCCTTTAATCCACGACGTCAGACCGGCCCCGTAGTGAAACCCTAAAATGACGATAACAGTTAGAGCGATAAGACCAAGCAAGCTCGATAAACTGCTCTTGTTCAGGCTGAAGAAATAGCGTTGATAAAGGTCCTCTAATTGAGGAGATTTAAACTTTTTCGATTTGAAGACTTTGGTAAATCCTTTAATTGATTCCATGCAGGTGATGTCCAACATTAAATCGGGCTCCCCGTCCCGCGGCCTCCCGTTCACCTCCTGGAGTTCTACCGAGCGCACCCGAACGTCCCCGTGTTGCCCGACTTCTGTCGTTTTCTTCTGCGGGACGACCGGGGCGACCCGCTTGTCCCGCGGCGGCTCATCCCACGCCGACTTTCTGGACTGGGCACTTCGTGTTGACGTGCTACTGCTCGGCCTGTTAGGGGGATGGTGGTAGGAGGCAGCATGGTGGTGGTTGTTGTCGGTAGGCATAGCGTGAGGAGGATCAACGTGAAGATTGGTGTGAGCGGGACCAAGATGAGCCTCTTCCTCCTGCCGAAGCTCTGCCTGACTGTGAGACGAGGTAACAAGTGCCCGCTCATCCTCCTTCTTCTCTAGCTCTTTCTTCTCCCAGGCAGAGCGACGTAGGCTGATGGAGGAGCCCAATGCTGATTGGCTGATTGCCGGCTGAGCTTCACTCGACATGGCGGGACAGCGCACTCACCGATTGGTTGATTGGTCTGTAATGAAACAAGTAGACCCCCAAGGGGCTTATGAGTGCTCATTTCATTAAGGTCTTCTTACACACAATCACTGCAACATACACACACACCCCCACAAACAAACACACACAGTCATAACAACATGTTCAGAACACAAATCACTTCCTTTCTCAATTTGTTATTCTCTTCTCCTTTTCTGCATCATTACACACACATCATCACATTCCAATACACAAATTTCATTATCACACATATAAAGCAAGCCAAGGACCTCTGAACAAATGTAGTTTTCTTCAGTCATATATGTCTTTCAGTACAATCACAAGGAAATATTCAGAATTCTTTTTTTTTAAAGTTATTATGAAGTAAACTTTCTTCTTTTTCCAGTTTTTAACAATCATCCTATTATCTATTAGAATCCAGAAGGTCATTAACTCTTTATAATGTAATTAGTAAAAAGCCCTTCCAGTTATCGGTATGTCTTGGATGCACTCACAAGTGATACATTCATATCTTCACAAGATAGGAGCATGCAGAGAGAGAGAGAGAGAGAGAGAGAGAGAGAGAGTGAATGACAGAGCAAGAGTGAATGACAGAGCAAGAGTGAATGACAGAGCAAGAGTGAAGGATAGAGCGAGAGGGATGGGAGAGAGAAGATGGGAGAGGAGGAAATGAGAGAGGAAATGGGAGAGGAGATGAGAGGAGGAGATGAGAGAGGGAGAAGAGAGAGGGGAGAAAGAGGAGACATATCAGGAGGGAAGGTGGGAGAGGGGAGAGATAAAGAGGGATAGGAGAGGTGGAAGAGAGAGACGGAAAGAGCTGGAAGGAGAGATAGAGGGAGATGAAAGGAGAGAAAGGTAGAGAGAGGGGGAGAGAGAAAGGTAGAGAGAGGGGAAGAGAGAGGGAGAGTGGAGTAAGGGGAAGGGGGACAGGGAGAGGAGGGAAGAGAGAGATAGAGAGAAGGAAACAGTAAAGGAGGGAAAGGGGGAGAGAGAAGGAGAGGAAGAGAAGGGGAGGAAGAGAAAGGGGAAGGGAGAGAGAGAGAGAGTGAATGACAGAGCAAGAGTGAAAGATAGAGCAAGAGGGATGGGAGAGGGAGAGAGAAGTTGAGAGAGAAGAGATGAGAGAGGGGGAGAGAGATGGGAGAGAGAAGAGAGTGATCAGAAGGGAAGATGGGAGAGGGGGAGAGAGAAGAGAGGGGGAGGGGGAGAGTAGAAACAGAGAGAGATGGGGAGATGGAAGGAGAGAGAGAGAAAGGTAGAGAGGGGGAGAGTGGAAGAGAGAGGGAGAGGGAAGGAGGGACAGTGGGAAGTAGGGAGAGGGAGAAAGAAAGAGATATAGAGGGAAGGGGTAAAGGAGGGAGAGGGAAGGGGTAAAGGAGGGAGAGGGAAGGGGTAAAGGAGGGAGAGGGAAGGGGTAAAGAATGGAGAGGGGGAGGAAGGAGGGTGAGATAGAAAGGAGAGGAAGGGAAAGAGAGAGAGAGAGAGAGAGGAAGAGAGGGAAGTAGAGGGAAGTAGAGAGATGGGGAGAGAGGGAGAGAGGGGGAAGAGAGGGGAGAGAGAGGGGGAAAGAGATGGGAAGAGAAGGAAGGAGGGAGATGGAGAGAGAGGGGAAGAAGTAGAGTGGGAGGGGGAGCAAGTGAAGGAGAGGAAAGGGAGAGAAAAAGAGAGAGGGAGAGAGAGGGAGAAAGGAGAGAAAAATGCCCACTAGATTGGGAGAGATAGAAAAAGAAAGTGGCAAGAGAGAGAAAGAGGAGGGCAAGAAAGAAAGAGAGAGAGAGAGAGAGAAGGAGAGAGACTTTCACATGAAGTAGTGACAAGTGCATGAAATTGCTTACAATGGCCTCTCAAGAAACAAACAAGTAACAAAAGCAAACAAACAAGATACATGTACAAAGAAATGAATAAACAAAATCCACCACTCAAAGGGCATTTGAGTTGTTATTGAGGAGAGATTCATTAAATGAGAGAATCTTTCAACGGAAAGAATCATTACAAACTGGGCTTAACATGGCAAAATGCAAATTTTTCATTAAAAAATTACAATTGTTTTTTGCTTGCTTGCATATTCATTTTTTTTTAGTAAGTTGTAACAGTTGACAGAAGCGTTTATAATAAAATTGAAGTGTTGCCAGTTTGACAAGACCTCTTTTAACAATAAAAAAACTAATCATTACTGATTACATTAATCGGGAGTGCCAGGAGGGCCAAATCTGACTGACATGAGCGCTATACAAGAACCCACTATTATTATTATTATTATTACTTGCTCATGACATGCAATGCTTATATATCATAATAATAATAATAATTTGGTTCTCCTTTTAATATTTTAGTGGGTTGTTAACTCTGTGAAAAGAGTGGGTTCATGCTGAAAAAGGTGATTTCACACCCTTCTGGCTCTCAACAGATTATATTGTGCCTGGTTGTAAGGCAGACATTACTGCTATTGACAATATATACATAGCGGTTATGACCTACTTGTAGGGCAGCCAACGACTATCCATGTTATCCAACATGTAACATAAAACCTTAAAATCTATTTCCTTTTTTTAAAACTCTCACTCTTTGCTCCATGTGTGAACAGCGCCATGATATCCATATCCACAAAACTGAGTCAACACTCCTCCGGTGCCCAGCGGATAATTGCATCATTGTATATTGATCCTACAACCGAGACATACTGAGACATATGTGCACATATCATCATTACCCACTATCCTCCTCCTCCTCCTCCTACACTACACTATCGATAGCTAGCTATCCATCCCCGAGACAAGCACACCCATGCCTTCACATCCTGTTGCCATGGCAACTGTCGTCTACCTCCTTGACGCGAGCCTGCTCGAGAGGGCGCAAGGCAGTATTCGGGGCGCCTCAAGAAAGTCTGCATTACATGGTAGTTTGTTCAGTTTACAATGCCAGCTTGGAATCATGGAAGGGATTTTTCATTTTCTTTTGTTTTGGTGTGTTTGAATTACTCCTACCATAGTTCAAAGCAAGACCCATGATCTATAGAACATACATGTAGATGTAGATGCACAATGAGCCACATGTAACAAATAAAATCTCAGTATACATTCTTAATTATTATACTTATTATTATACATTTCTATTTATGCACTATTTTTTTAAAGGTTGTAGATTGGTGATTTTTCGTTTTACAAATTTAAAATGCTATTTTTTCCTTATGTAAAAGCAGAGCATAAAGTGTACATGTATATGTACTCAACGAAAAAATTAGAGAGGGAATACCAAAAGTTATTTTGTATACATAACAGAGGTTGTTACAAAATCATCTCATCCCAATTTGTTATGTCATGTCCAATAATTGTTTGATGTGATCTTCCCCTTGCGTAAAAGTAGATGTTAACGCCTATTGCAGGTGTATCAAGAGCCTGAAAGGTGTTTTACTGTACTAATCACTAAAACTTTTAATTTGCTCTTCAATTATTGGGCTGCATGTCAATATATGAGCTTTAATATTAGTTCTACAAAGAGATATTGCAGTGTTACTTCACTCTCAGTAAACATGAGAATGACTTGTGAGTAAATTAATCGATGCAGGACCAATAAATCCAAAGGAAATATTGTTTTAAAAAGTCAAATTATGGCATTCCTTAATTTTCAGTTACTCACATAAAATTGGATAAGAAAAAAATGCAGGAGACATTTTTGTGAAAGTTCTTTAGTATACTGAGTTGAGCCAAAATTTCCTCTCGCAACATTTCCTCTCGCAACATTTCTTCTAGCAACATTTCCCCTTGCAACGTTTCCTCTAGCAAAATTTCCTCTAAGCTTCATGTCATCAAAATAAAGATTTCAAGATAATGTTGCAATTCTATTTTTGACCAGGTTTAGAGCTATAGTTACATGTAGGTATACAGTGTAGGGATATGTTCCACAATTCTTTTATAAGCCAATCATAAAAAGGCCTGTACTTACATGTATAGCGAAGAAGAAGAAGGAAGCATTGAGACGATCATCTGCATGGTACCAGAGAGGTGACTCATATACTTTGAAACAGGGTCAACGCTCTTGCATGTATGGTTCCCAACCAATGACATATGCTTTTTAATTTCAAATTAATTAACGATGCCATAACACTACAGATATACATTGAGGGGTCAGTAACACAAAGACGTAACTCCATTTTGACTATTTTGAGAAAAAGTGGGTTTATGTGTCACTGAGCACTTGGGCCTTAAGGAGTTAAGTCTATATTTCACTATTGACTTCAACGGGGTGTCAGATGGAGTTATGTCTTTGTGTTTCCTGGAAAGCCCACATTTTTCTGAATATTTTGATATCAAATACTCATTTTGGCACAATATGGAGTTATGTCTTTGTGTCACTGAACCCTCGACCTGTACCTCTTGTGTTTTATCAAATCATTTTTTTCCCTCCATATTTCTAATGACTATTAGGCCTATGTATTGTAAAACACAATATTCATGCATGTACAATGTGAAGAAGTTTCCTAATCAATACAACTAGAAAATAGCACTTACATCATAATAAGGGCAACAATGTAAATTCATTCCTGTCACACATATAAAATGTTATTGCCATGGCAACCCTATCATCAATCCTGAGATCGTTGTGGTATTGAGAAGACTAATGTGAATGTGATTAACATAATGATATTAAGTATAGAAAACGCATTGTTTTGTCCTGGAGTACATGTAACTATGGATCGAGATTCCACCCTCAAGTATAAATTCATTAATACAACTTTCAGCTACGCCCAAAATGTCTTCTCTTACTTCAAATCCTCAATCGGTAGCCTTCATGTATACAATGCCCATAAAATGCTTTAGGATTGATTTTATACATTCTAGCTATAAATATGAACATCATTTTGAAAGGTTATTGGTACACTTCCTAGACAAATAGAGATGACTTCATATCAGCTTAGAATGTTTACATTTTGCTACTTACCAACTATAAAATAATAAAATAACAATTTTAAAACTAATTATACAACACCTACGTGGATCCTTGTCATTTGATTGGAGGATTGTTGGTCACATGATATTCAATAGATGTTCTATTGCACGGGCGTGCATTTTTCGTTATATGCAGAGTTTTTGGTTATATGCAGACTGCGTACCTCTCTGCCGTGCGCGTATCCCTGTGTGTATCTGGCGTGAAGGCAATCTGAATGTATGTAATCGAGAAGGCTTGACTCCAACTTTAATAAATATAAGGAGTAAATAAAAGCATAATTTA